GATGGTTTTCCTTTCTGCAACAATGTCGAATGCTACTGAATTCGCGGAATGGATATGTTCTGTGCATAAGCAGCCATGCCATGTTGTGTACACGGATTTCAGGCCAACGCCTCTGCAGCATTATGCTTTTCCTATGGGTGGGGGTGGACTGTACCTTGTCGTTGATGAAAATGAGCAATTTCGGGAGGATAACTTCATTAAGATGCATGATACTTTCCCGAAACCGAAATCTACTGATGGAAAAAGGAGTGCAAATGGCAAATCAGGTGGTAGGGCTTCTAAAGGTGGCGGTGGCGGTGGCTCTGGGGATTCTGATGTTTACAAAATTGTAAAGGTATGCTCTTTTATATCGTTTATGGCTGTCCTATGTTGCTGCTTGTGGTGCCATGTTAGTTAGACTTGTAGTTATCAAAACATTGGAATATACATCCTGTAGGTTTGTTAGTTAACTCTTCTTATCTATCGTTGCAGATGATCATGGAAAGGAAATTTCAACCAGTCATCATTTTCAGCTTCAGTAGAAGAGAGTGTGAGCAGCACGCATTGTCAATGTCAAAACTGGATTTTAACACAGACGAAGAGAAGGAGGTTGTGGAACAAGTGTTCAGTAATGCTATTCAGTGCTTGAATGAGGAGGATAGATCTTTACCTGCCATTGAACTAATGTTGCCTCTGCTCCAACGTGGTATTGCTGTCCATCATTCTGGTCTTCTTCCTGTCATCAAGGAATTAGTGGAGCTTCTTTTTCAAGAAGGACTTGTGAAAGCGCTTTTTGCCACAGAAACTGTAAGATATTCTGTAATTAGCTTGTCCTTTTCAATTGTGGAACTTATGTTAAACTCTCGGTTGTGCTAATTTATGGTTATTTCTTAAACGCCTCTATTGTATCAGTTTGCGATGGGTTTGAACATGCCTGCAAAAACTGTAGTGTTTACTGCTGTTAAGAAGTGGGATGGTGACAGCCATCGTTATATTGGGTCTGGTGAATATATCCAGGTGGGTCGTAGTTTGTTGATGCTAGTGGTGACGTGATTAAGCGGCACGAAATTATATTGTAGTTGTTGAATGCTTATAATGAAGTGCTTGCAGATGAGTGGCAGAGCTGGACGTCGTGGAAAGGACGAACGTGGCATCTGCATTATTATGATTGATGAACAGGTATTTTTATCAGTAAATTTGTGGATAATTACATCGCCAGTTACTTATGCCCATTTTTGTTTTGTTTTTTTTTATATCTTTGAGTTACCTATTATTTTCAAAATCAACTTCTTCCATCTTTCAGAAATACTTCTACTTATCTCTGCATATTATAAATATATATGACATAGGAATATACCACCACATAATATATGCACCAAACAACTGTAGCCTCTATGTCGTCTTCCAAGAGTATTAATTCTAGATAAATTTTGTCCCTATCTCTTAGATTTGTTTATGTTGTCATTCAACAGATGGAAATGAACATACTCAGGGACATGATGTTGGGCAAACCAGCCCCTTTGCTTAGTACATTTAGGTTGAGTTACTACACAATTTTGAATCTATTGAGTCGTGCTGAAGGACAATTTACAGCTGAGTTTGTTATAAGGCACTCGTTTCACCAATTCCAATATGAAAAGGTAGCTGCTACATATTCATCCTTTTTCTCTCTCTAAATTTTATCTAAAAGGCATTTGTTTTATGCTAATTTCCGTTGGTGTTCCAATCACAGGCTTTACCGGATATAGAGAATAAGGTGTCCAAACTTGAAGAGGAAGTTGCCACCCTTGATGCTTCTGGAAAGGTGCGCTGCACTTTCATATTTGACATCTGTAATTTTGTGCCCGTTGGCCCCGTTCTCACTTCTATGATTATTTGCAGGCGGAGGTTACTGAGTACCATAATCTACAACTTGACATAGCTCAACTGGAAAAGAAACTTATGTCAGAAATAATAAGGCCTGAAAGGGTGCTTTGTTTTCTTGATACTGGTCGGCTGGTAAGTTTTCATAAAGTTTAGAGGCTTTTTCAAAGCTTAGGGATATTGAGTCAGTTAATTCCATTATGCAGCCTGCAAAATGATAGATCGAGTTATTTGTTTTTCCTCCTTACCAATCCCATATAATCTCTCATCTACTAGCAGTCAAGGATGGTTAGTGACAAAGTTTTAGGATGGTTACCGTTACTGTTACCGTTCAGTCACCTTCAATGTATAAAAGATGAATGTTCATTAGTTGTTCCATCACGCTGTTCCATTACGTTATGGAAAAAGGTTTCTTTTATGGTTTGCTAATATTTTCCAAAGCTAATCAGTGGAATATCTTGTATATGACTGCAGATAATGACTGTAAGTTTTTTATATAGCAGGAGCTTCTCATAACTTACTTGGACAAGTGTTTATGTACAGGTTAAGATCCGAGAAAGTGGAATAGACTGGGGCTGGGGAGTTGTAGTTAATGTTGTAAAGAAAGCTTCAGTTGGAACTAGTTCCGCCTCCTCACATGGTGGGGGATATATAGTTGATACTCTACTTCATTGCTCTACTGGATTAGGGGAGAATGGTGCAAAGCCAAAGCCATGTCCTCCCCGTCCTGGGGAAAAGGGTGAGATGCATGTGGTAAGTTCATTTTTACATTCAATGTCACTTGACTTGCATGTTATTATTCGATTCGCATGAGTAGTGGAGTTTTGAAGATTGTACTTTTTTCATTTTTTTAGGTTCCTGTTCAGCTACCCCTAATTTCTGCTTTAAGCAGACTGAGGATATCAGTTCCTTCTGATCTGCGGCCACTAGAAGCAAGACAAAGCATACTCCTTGCAGTACAGGAGTTGTCGAGTCGCTTCCCATTAGGGTTCCCAAAACTCCATCCAGTCAAGGACATGAATATTCAAGACGCAGAGATAGTGGATCTGGTCAGTCAGATTGAAGAAGTTGAGCAGAAGTTACTTGCTCATCCGGTGCACAAGGTCTGGCTACATGCCGTGTTCATTTTAACTTGTTATTTTAAATCTGAATTTAGAGTAATGCACTTCATCAGTATTCTATTTCTCACTTTTTATGTGTTACAGGCTCAAGATGATCAGCAAATCAAGAGTTTCCAGAGGAAAGCGGAGGTGAATTTTGAAATTCAGCAGTACAAATCGAAAATGCGTGATTCTCAGGTATATTACGTACTTGTTGTTCATTCATGAATTAATCAAGCGGGCTGCATCTTATTCGTTTTTGACCAGATTTAGAAGTTATCTTAATGAGTGTCCTATCTATCTTTCTTACACACACAAAGCCAAACAAATTGTGTAGTGATCACTGATATACCAAACACTCTGTTATAGTTTGAGTCTCTTTTCATCCCTCTGGTGTTTGACATAATATTGTTTATCTCTACAGCTCCAAAAGTTCAGAGATGAGCTTAGGAATCGTTCTCGGGTATTAAAGAAACTTGGACACATTGATGGGGATGGTGTTGTCCAGTTAAAGGGACGAGCTGCCTGCTTGATAGACACAGGGGATGAATTGCTTGTCACTGAACTGATGTTTAACGGTACGGCAACTGTTTGAGTCGATATTGTTTTGGCTTGAATCACACCATATCTCCTTGCCTTGTGTTTACATTAAATTTCTTATCAGGTACCTTTAACGATCTGGATCACCACCAAGTAGCTGCCCTTGCAAGCTGTTTCATTCCTGTAGATAAATCAAATGAACAGGTTAACTTAAGAAATGAACTTACCAAACCGTTGCAGCAGCTCCAGGATAGTGCACGAAAAATTGCTGAGGTAAATTAATATTCCAGCTGAAATCTTGCTTATTAATCTATAAAAGCCCTCTTTTTTTGTAATCGTCATTTTTTTTCTTTCTGTGATGCCAGATACAACATGAATGCAAACTTGAAATTAACGTTGAAGAGTATGTAGAGTCCACCATCAGACCGTTCCTGATGGACGTTATCTACTCTTGGTCAAAGGTTTGTATTACTTAAATCTTAGAAATGCTGATATTATTTTAATAGATGTGTTATACAAAGTACTGTTTCTGCATATATATATGTGTTGAGAATTACAGCCATTCCGCTATCTAGCTTTCTATTCGTGGATCTTCAGCTCAACAGGAAACTGATATTCTCGATTGTTTATCTTTGTAAGGGTGCGAGCTTTGCAGAGATTATACAAATGACCGACATATTCGAGGGTAGTATCATTAGGAGCGCTAGAAGACTGGACGAGTTTCTGAATCAGGTAACTTCATCAATTCAACTGCAATTACATTTCTGTTAACCTCTAGGAAATCTCACGACACTTTGATTGGTGATTTTGTTCAGCTTCGAGCTGCAGCGGATGCAGTTGGAGAGAGCAGGTTGGAGAGCAAGTTTGCAGCTGCTAGCGAGAGCTTGCGGCGAGGTATTATGTTTGCAAATTCGCTTTATCTGTAAGTGCTCTCTTGCACAGTTCAGCCATGGCCACAACATGTTGAAACTTAACTTGATAGCGAAAATGGTTTGTATTTTCTTCTGTACTCATTTATCTTGAATCATGATAGCTTTTGGTTTGTCAAAAAGTTAGATGATGGTGAAATTTCTAGAGCTGGCTTTGGCTCCATGATACGTGTTGAGATGTCATAACAAGTGAAACAAACAAGTGGTATTGTGATAGTTTTCTATTAGATATCTTCCTGCAATGAGATGCCCAAAAACCATGGAAACTATGGACACAGACAATGGTGGAGAAAGAGCCATGAACACGTATACATGCTGCTCTCGGATTGTACAGACGAATGTTTATGATCTTCATAACATTCTCAAACTCATTAGTCTCCCGTTGACGCAAAAGAGCACTAGAGAGAGTTTTCATGCCATGCCAAGAAAATAAAAAATCTAACGAAGTTTTTGACAATTTACTACCTTGTGGACTGCAGCATTCGTAAATGGTTTTCGTGATTAGGGCTTTTGCTTATGGGTTTTGTAAGTGGGCCAATTAATTGAAACCTAAACCCAGTGATTTCAAAAGAAGGAAAAATGGATAAAAATGAATAAGCTGTCTGCCACGTGGACTTTGCTGGTAACAAAGAGAGTAGCCCAAAAGGAGAAACCCGTTTCTTTCTGGTTCGATTTGACGTTCTCGTTTTCTTTCAACAAAGAAACGACCTCCCGCCGCCGGGAAACCGCCGTTTTCTCAACCGCCACCGTAAGGTAGGTTTGTTGCGCGCACTCTCTATCTCTATCTCTTTCTCCATCTTCGCTGTAGATACTGCTATTTGATTTGATGGGAAATAAAGCAAAGTAATTTCTGATGATTTCATCTCTTCCTTCTCTAGGGTTTTGTTTTGGTACTCCTTTATGTCGACGGAATCAGAACTTATCCAGTCGAGCTCCGACGCTGTCGGTGGCTCTAATGCGTCGAGGATTGAGGTCGGAAATGATCAAATGTCTGAAACCCTAGCTGACCCGTTGAGCTTAGGTAGTCAGGCTGAGAAGATTGAAGCAAAGCACGACCGAGACGAGCAAGAAGGATGCGGAAGCTTAGCTTCAGCTGGTGATCATGGGATGGAGAAAGTAAATGGATTTACTGATCTGGAGAAGCAAACCGAATCTGTAAACGGAGAGTTAGATCTAGGCATTCGAACCCAAACCGTAGATGCTGAGACTAACGAAAGTGAGAAGAAGGTCCCAGTAGATAGCGAAGATGTATTGATGATAGAGGATGAAACAAAGCTGTGTGAAAAAGACTCTGATGGGATCCAAACGGATCTTCTGGTTGAGAAGGAAGCAGATGACGCTAATCTCAGTGATTCGAAGGGTTCTGGTGTCAAGCTGGACAGTGAAGACCTTGGTGAGGATAGAAAATCAGATGGCTCAGGAACGCGAGGAAGAAAAGTGGAGAACTTTGATGTTGATGAGAGCAGTGATGAGAGTGTTTCGGATGATGATCTTGCACCTGTAACTACGAAGGTGAAATTCTCTCACTCAGATTTGGTTTGGGCTAAAGTAAGGAGCCATCCGTGGTGGCCTGGACAGGTGTTTGATGCGTCGGCTGCAACAGACAAAGCGAAGAAGTACTCCAAGAAAGGAAGTTTCTTGATAACTTACTTCGGAGACTGCTCGTTTGCTTGGAACGATGCATCACGGATTAAGCCTTTTCGGCAGCATTTCTCTCAACTGGCAAAGCAGAGTAGCCTACCTGATTTTGTGGATGCTATTGATTTTGCTTTAGAAGAGGTATCAAGAAGGATAGAGTTTGGTTTGGCTTGTCCTTGTATCTCAGAGGACGTCTATCAGAAAATCAAGACTCAGACCGTAATCAATCCAGGAATCTTAGAAGATTCAAGCAGACTACACGGTGGAGATGAGGTCTCGAGTGCAGTCTCCTTTGAACCTGTGAACCTCGTGCAGTATGTGAAGGGTTTAGCAAGCCATCCTAACAATGGTGCTACTGATGAGCTGCAGTTTGTAAGTCACAGAGCTCAGTTATTGGCTTTTAATCGTTGGAAAGGCTTTTCTGAACTTCCCGAGTTTGAGACACTTCAGGGGTCAGTGGAGTCTGCACCTAAGATTGCTCCTGCTGAAGAGAAAGAAAGCTTAGTTGAAGTGAAAGTTTCTGTTCCTAAACCGAAAAAGCCTGACCAAGTTTATACTAAAAGGAGAAAGACAGAAAACCAAGATGACTGTAAACATGAGGCAGTGTTTGAGTATGAGGATGCCACTGTTCTAAAGAGAAAGGAGAAAACTTTGGCAGAGTTCATTGCTGAGAAACGCTTAAGCAAACGTAATGGGAAGAGATCACGTGAAAGTTCTAGTATCAAGCCAGAGTCCGAAAAGAAACGCAAGGTTGTGTCTCCAAAACTTCCCAAGTCGACTAAAAAGATCAAGCCGAACCTGCAGACAAAGGATCCAGGATCTCCAAAGTCTCTAAAAAATGATCGGAAGCATAGTTTGTCTGCAGGTGATAAGATTACACCAAAGAAAGCTAGAGAAAGTTTCGGAATTGGGGCAAGCATACTGAAAGCTGCGAACCAGATGCATTGTTCAACACCTACAGGACTCATACCTTGCGGTAATTCAACCTCCAAAAAGGCAGCCAAGAACAATGGCAGTGGAAATAGTCTCCAGAAGAAGTCGAAAGCTAAAGCATTATCTGAAAGAGAGATCTCTCCTTCTCCCAGTGAAACGCATTCAAGCCCTCATTCTACTTCTGCTGCCAAAACCTCAAATGGCAAACCCAGTCCCATCAGCGTAGACCACCAACAATCCGGAGCACATGAAGAGGTCGTGAAGGAAACACCAAATACCGGCCTTGTGGAAGACTCGATGTTGAAGAACGTGGACTTGAAAGACTCTTGTGAAGAACAGATGGTAAATGAGGATAGGAACGAAGATGGAAGCAAGATTACTATTGAGGACAGTAATCTAACTGAGGAGAAAGTCGCTTGATCGGACTTGAAAGAGCAGCCTGGCAACAAGAACTGCTCGGATGGATCTCTGAGTTGTGGCAAGGAAGATTCTTCCGCTGAGTATGAAGGCTCACCATTAGCGCTTAACACACTAGTAATCAGAACTAAGCAACATGGCCAAGGAAAATACTTTGGTAAAAGACTTCTTTTTTTCGAAACTTAGGATTGTTATATTTTCACGTTCCATGGAGAGATTGTTATAAAGTTATTTGTTTTCTCCTCATTTCATAAGGGTTTCAAATTTCACAATTATATAAGCTATGAATTATCGTGACGTGTAGAAATAGCGAAATTGTGATAGATGTATGGAGAAGAGAATACTTGAGGCAAATTAAACCAAAAACAAGATTTAACTTTAAGTAGATGTTCCAGAAACTCAGAAGCAGAGGTCTGATTTGAAATATCAAAAATCCATGAACAGAAAGCTTGAAAAGTAGAAGAATCTAAGATCTAGGCTTCTCCTTCTTCTCCTTGAAGAGGGCCAAGAGTGAGACACCAGACACCTTCACCACCTTGAACCTGACTCCGGGAATATCTCCGACGGCATGACCTTTACGCCCAAATCCAGCAATCAACACCTCGTCCTGCACACAGACATCATCAATCAATACGTCAAGAGATCAGAAGCAAACACTAACGGAAATAAGTGATTACTCAAAAACAGTTGTCAACAAACTTACATTTTCCTCAATGTAGTTCAAACAACCATCGTTGGGGACGAAAGCAGCAATCTTTTTGCCGTTCTTGATCAACTGAACTCTAGCACACTTACGGATGGCAGAGTTAGGCTGCTTAGCCTCAATACCACTGAATGATCAACACAAAACTTATCAAGATCAACACTAATTCAAGAAAGACAGAGAGAGATGCATTGAGACTCTCACAACAAGGAGACGAGTGTAAAGTCTTACATCTTTTCAAGGACGATTCCCTTAGCGTGGGAAGCCAATTGGAAAGGCTTCTTCCATTCGTTTCCTTGGTGAGACTTCTTGTACTGCTTGTCCGCCCACCTCTGGTTAATCCGAAGCTTCTTCAGCTTGCGCCCAGCTCCCATACCACGTGTCTTACTGAAGATTTCAAAACACAATGACACAACAAATTAAGAAAACAGAACAGAGATCACCAAATGGTATCAAGTAACTAAAAATTCTAAAGGGAAGAAATGTAACAATGAGACAAAGTTTCAACTTTCATTTGACAACAAAACATGGTAATTAACACCAGAAAACAAAATCACCAAATCCATTAAGCGTAGAGATTTCAGAGGTGAAAAATGAGACATACTGCCATACAATCGTACTATTCAAATCAGATAATCTAACCCAAATTTTCGATCACCGGAATAAGACAACAGAAACAACACATATGACGAAATTCCCTACTCATTGCGTTTCATCGAAGCCAGGAGAAAGAGGAAAAAGAAACATAATCACACAAACGGAGGGGATGAGACTGAAGAAGACAGATCTAAGGGAGGAAACCATACCCCATGTTGACGACGGCGAGAGAGAGTGAGAGATTGACTGCTGCAGGAAAGCGCGACCCTTTTGAGTTCGTGAGAGAGAAGCCCTAGAGAGCTAACCAATTATTTATATATAGGGTTGTCAATTCAGGTCACTAGAATATACCGGTCTGGTATAATACACATTAAAATTTTAGAAGAACCGGACTTGACTATGTGAGTAATGTTTTGGGCTTAGCATGTGACAGGCCCATTAATCCCCTTAAGTCTTAAGGTATATCCGAGTCACGTGCACCTACTAGTAGGCCCCACGACTCCCACACTATCCGCCACGTCAGCAAAACCTTTATTTCTGAAACAAAACAGGCTGTAGCAGTAAACGCACCGGTTCAGCAGCGTTCCGTCGGAAAACGACATGCACGACCGTCCATTTTCTTTTGAAAAAAGTTCGATCTTGATCTAACGGTGCGTATTTGTTGATTCAACCAGTTAAATACAAATCAGGAAAGAGACGGAGAAGCTCGTCAATGGCGGACTTGCCTTTCTCTATGAGAGTAGAAGATTTATGATTCGTTATTGAAAGGTTCTCTACCAACTACTTTAATTAAAAAGAAGTAATTTTTAAAATATAGATATAGTTAGAAAAAGTGAGCTTCAAGTTCACGCTTGTAAAGGTGTCAGTTGCAGCTCACTACTCTCGCCATGTTCTCTCCTCTCGCGCTCTTTGTGTTTTCTCCATATTTCCGGATGCTTATAGAGAAACTGAATGTACAGGTCTTCTTGCTCTGAAGAAGAGTTCCTTTCGGATTTCGGATTCGGATATAGATTAGGGATTTCGTTTTGAGAGATTTGGGAAGCTGGGAAGAAGAAGATGGAGGAGATGCGAAGAGGAGTGCCTACTTGGCAGGACGAGTTAGCTAGTCTCATGGATGGAGGACTACAATACGACGACGGATCGCCGATTGATCTGACGGCGGATTCTATCTCTGAGCCAAGGTCAAAGAGTTCGGGTTTCGGGTCGGTGGATGGATCCGGGTCTGGATCCGAATCAGTGGAGAGCTTGAAGGATCAAGTGACGGGGTTTATGAAGTCATGGGGAGAAATGCTTCTGGATCTCGCTATAGGATGCAAGGACGTCGTGCAGCAGAATCTGGTCAGTGAAGACTCGGTCGTCGTGCGCAAGCTCCGAAAACCAGCTGCAAAAGTATCCAAGAAGCTACGCTTCCTTAACGAATACTTGCCTGAGGATCGTGATCCGGTACATGCCTGGCCTGTGATTCTCTTCGTCTTCCTCCTAGCTCTCACAGGTATTAACATAAAACAGTTTTGTGACCTTTGGATGCCATTTGTGTTAGTCTCATCCACAAGTAGTGATTACTTTTAAGCTATCTTCTTGCAATGCAATAGTCATACACTGAACAGTTATTCAAGTGTCTGCTATAAAACTGTGTATTGAGGTGAATCTTTTAGAAATTACTGAGGTTGTTGTGTGTAGCTAACTTGTTTATGCGTATGTGTTGGTTTAAATGGCGGTATTGAATGTATACTATTTAGTGCAAGAAGTTTGTATCTTTTCTCTGACATATCCAAATTTTGAAGTGCAGTAATAAGTTTTGGTTCTGATCATGATAAATCCGTCCCCGTGTTAAAGAAAATCCGTGTGCATCCTCCTGGTGCGAGCCGTGTACAGCTTCCAGATGGTAGATACTTAGCTTACCAGGAGCGTGGTGTTTCAGCGGAGAGAGCTAGATACTCTCTGATTGTGCCACATTCTTTCCTTTCCTCTCGACTTGCAGGTATGATAAAGTAACTTCTTTTATTTAGTTTCAGCTAGTTTTGATGATGTAATCAAGGTAATGATTCAACAATATGTAATCAAGGTATACCTGGAGTGAAAGAATCATTGCTCAAGGACTATGGTGTCCGTCTAGTGTCATATGATCTTCCAGGGTTTGGAGAGAGTGATCCGCATCGTGCTCGGAACCTTAGCTCATCTGCCTCGGATATGATTGACCTAGCTGCTGCTCTTGGGATTATTGAAAAGTTCTGGTTACTCGGCTATTCCAGTGGTAGCATGCATGCTTGGGCTGCAATGAGATACTTTCCTGACAGAATTAGTGGTAACATCAAGTTTTTGAATAAGATTTGATGCATATCAGTTCATAGCTTTTTTGGCAAGACTATTGATCATTGCGCTGTGTTTTTTTTTTATCAATCTACAGGAGTTGCTATGTTAGATCCTATGATTAATCCATATGAGCCAAGCATGACCAAAGAAGAGATGGCGAAGACGTGGGAGCAGTGGCCACGAAAGAGGAAATTCATATACTTTTTAGCGCGTCAGTGGCCTAGTCTTCTTCCTTTCTTCTACCGTAGGTCCTTTCTCTCTGGTAATCTCGTGCCGCTGGATCAGTGGATGTCAATATCATTAGGAGAAAAAGTAAGTCTGTATTCATTAAGGGTCTCTTCCTCATGTTTTGATCCTTTCTTATCACCACATATAGTAGCATCCTCGGAGTTATGCTCACAAGCTAAATCTTTCTGCTTCAGGACAAACAAGTAATCACAGATGCATTGTTTGAAGAGCTTTACCAAAGGAACGTGGAAGAGTCTGTACGCCAAGGAACGGCAAGACCATTTGTTGACGAAGCCGTGTTGCAAGTATCAAATTGGGGCTTTAATCTTGCTGAGTTCCGCATGCAGAAGAAGTGTAAAACCAACGGCGTCCTCTCTTGGCTAATGTCGATGTACAGCGAATCAGAATGTGAACTTGTCGGGTTTCAAAAACCATTACACATATGGCAGGTTTGTAAAACCATTACACTCTTAAAATCTCCCATCTCTATGATCTTTTTGCCGAGTTGTGAGTTGTGAGTTGTTCGTTTTGCTTTTGGTCACATAGGGGATGGAGGACCGAGTGGCACCACCTTCAATGACAGATTACATTAGCCGGGTCATACCAGAAGCAATGGTACATAGACTCCCAAACGAAGGCCACTTCTCTTACTTCTATTTCTGTGATGAGTGCCACAAGCAGATCTTCTCTACTCTATTTGGAGAACCGCAGGGTCCAATAGAGTTATCGGAACAAAGAACAGAAACCCATGAACCGGATCAACCGGAGTCTGGTTTATCCAACAGTAGCACTACCAAAGACTAAGTAAACAGAGGTTACAGGAGTACTATAGAAACACGTTCTTCTACGTCTTCATCCATCATGAAGAACTGTGTAAATAACACCAAGAGGATGCTTTCTTTCTTCTTTTTTCCTTCTTTGGTTGAAAATTTTCAGATTTGATATAGGTTACAATTGAAGCAGACCTCAATTTGATATCCACATTTAGCACTACAAAGAGTGCAAGTGAAAGTTAACTTTTTTATGGAAGCGGCTATATATTAATTTGATATCCAATTATGTTTATTGTTTCTGGTTCCTCCCTCGTTAAAAAGTCTGTCGCACTGAACCTAAGAGAAGCTGTTAAAGACAATTATGATGAAAACTTAACAACTCAGAACAAAATCTCACCCAGATTATACATCAACCTTGGTCAGAAAAATGATCTAGAAACTACATGGCTATGTTGATGAGATCAATCAATCTCACTAAAAGGGTCTCAAAACGCAGAACCAGAGCTCTTGGTTTTGCCAAGCATCATGTCTTTGGCTTCGTTGATCTTAGAAGCAAGGTAATGGCTTCCACCTGCGTCTGGATGGTTAGCCACCATCACTCTCCGGTGAGCTTCCTTCACCTTCTCTGCCACTACACTCTCCCTGTCCAAAACACCACAAGTCCCAAACTTGTCAAGCCAAAATAATATGCCATAAAATCCTATCCAAACATAACAGGGAAAGCTTCCGTAAGAACATAACTATGCTTGAACGAGTTAAATTCGATTAACGTATCCCGTTATTGCTACATTCAAAGCCTCCAAGAGCAAACCTTATAAGAACTAATGTTGGCACAGCTACAACCTATTCATGATAATTCACCTTTTAGGTCCGTTTCTTAATTAGCAGTTCATAGTGAGGTTAGGAAAAAAGAAATGTACCTAACACCGAGAATTAGAGCGGCTTCTCTGCGAGTCATTGTCGCTTGGAAACCACCTTCATAAAACTTGCGGAGTCTAGGCCTCGGTGGTCTTGCCTTGAACGCCTGCCACGCCTCAATTCCGTATTTACCAGCATAAGCAGCAGCTGCAACAGCTACACCTGCAATTATCGCTGCAACCTGGAGAATGGACCAATAGAGAAGCATCTAACTCAACAACCCATCAATTGAGAAAAGATGAACCAACAATAGATTCCGAGAAAACATTAGAACGAAGTTTTTGATACTGACCAAACAGAGCAAAAATGGATACAGAGGTCTTAAAATTATCGTTGTAGGAAGGGGGGAAAGGAGATTCTTTTAGACATCCTAATCTAATCAAAGGGATGATTTCAACATCATCAAATGGGATATTTTTTCAAAATCAATCAGCAAAGACAATCAATAAAGAAGAGGAAGTTCCGAAAAAATCCGAAAGAAGAACAGAAGCACGCAAATTTACCATTTTTTTATAGATTTGAGCAGGAGTGATGAGCAGGAGTGAGAAACCGATTAGATTGAGATAGGCAAACAACTACTATTCAATGTTGGATTTTCTCGATTGATCTGGAAATTAGGGTTTTTGCTACTTCTTGGTTAGCTCTTGGCCTTGGCGTGGATACAGATCAAACAAAACCTTCTAACTCTCTAAGTAGGTTCTAGATAACTTTGCATTTTGGAGTATTTTACAAGTAAAGGCACTTTAGCACTTACAAATTACAAATAAAGGCACTTTGTACTCTAGAGGGACTTTGGCCAATAAAACTGCTAGTGAAATCTCAGTGTTGCCCTTTTGACAAATTTGTGTCATATCACATGTTGTGTATAAACAACGAATTTTTACTGCAGCGCCGCAGTAAAATTACATCGTCGGAACTTTTCCAATAATCGCCGGAGCAGCCGTAAGAACTGAATGTGGCGGCGTAGCGGTCCTTTCGATCAGACCGATTTGGATAATAGATATATCGAGTCCTCCTTTTTAAGTCTGGTCTGTGGCGGAGTAATCTGTCTTCTGTTTTCAACTATTTGGGACTGTAGTATAAATCCGAAGCGTTTCCTTGCCCCATAACGCAGCCGGATCAAATTTTAACGGCGACAACCGACAACCATAAACCCTAATCACAGTTATCCCGCATAGATCACCAGACCGGATAACACAAATACAGATTATTACACGGTTTTGTACCAATATTCAGACTCATTGGTACATCTTACGATGGACGTAGAAATTACGCCACATCTTAAAGGGTTGTGGACTGACAATAAGAACCGGGGGCTGTACATGACCTTGTGGATGCATCCATGATGTTATTTTAAAAAGCAGTTAGTGGGGTAATGGCAGGCTATTATGTCATATCTCATTAATGAGTTCGGCGTTTTAATCAACCACTTTACGGGAGAAAGAGCAATTCAAAGATGCCCGTTCAATTGTGCTTGCTACTAATTGCATCTCTATCCTACGGACAAACGCAACCCACGTAACAATTGTTGGTGGGAAAAAGTCGAAAACATGTCTGGATAACTGGGTCTGAAATAAGGGTTTCCTTTGTTCTTTCTTGAGTTCTTTCAGTTTTTACAAGAATCAGAGTATACAGATTTTCGCTGGAGAGATGGGTGACCACTGTATGGTAATTAGTGGTGAATGGAAGTTTTTGCCTGACGGGAAGTGGGATTTCGTTATCGACAAGCAACGCATGTCGCGTGTTGTTTCATTCGAGAATGGGATGAGCATTGGTGATTTGCGAAAAAACGTCCTACAAGAATTCTTCGCCGATGGCGGCTCCGACATCAATGTCGAACTAAGCTACTGGCCACCTAACACTACCGAGCTCGCGACGGGGATTACAACGCCTCCTGTCATGGTAACAAACGGGGCTGCGATTTCGTACTTCTGCAAGCATTACTCCGTCAAGAATGCAATGAATTTGTTTGCCACATTCGTCAAACGCGGTACCTCTCAATCAGCCGCCGAACCCGGCGGGTCTTTTGATGGCTTTACAACACCCAAGCCGCCTCTCAAAAGAACCCGCTTAAGCGAAGACATATCCGGCGAGGGCCTGTTTGGTCTCGGCCTTGACAATCTCGGGGATTATTGTTCATCTGTTGCCTCCCGGAAACTCCCTGCGGATATAGACGACGATATACTTGCTCGGCATATGGAGTCAGTGGAGAATGCTATCAACAACGGTAGTCACACCGCAGAAGACTTGTACGACTTGCACACCACTTCCGAGAAGACTGTACAAGATGTTATGGACGAGTTGAAAAGCGAATCTAGCCGCCGGGGATACACCTCCGAAGACCTGAACACTGACGAGGAGGACACTGGACAGGATACCTGGGACGACTTCGACGTCCGACCACTAGGAATAGACGAGGAGTTCTGGGAACCGCTTGTAGATGATGTTTACGGTGGCTCGGACGCCGCCGACTACATGTGCTCAACAGACGATGACCCCAACAGAGACGGTCCTCGCGTTTACCGATGCTCCACTAACGATGCTTTTGACCACACTGTAATACAAGGAGGTGACGGAGTCGGCTGGAAGACTGAAGGATGTAGTGGATCTTCGACGTCGTCTGGAAGTAGCGGTCCAGGACACGCCGCCGGGGGAGGAGGTTTCCCAGGTGAGCATGGACAGCATAACATGGACCCCGATATCAACCGCCGTACACCAAACAACCGGACTGTGGACGGCGAACACGACATACCTTCTTCTCACGCTGCTACTCCGTCCAGCCGGCCGACACACACTCCTACATCGGCCAGTAAACACAACGAACCTAATGCGTGGATGGGAGTCCATGGTCAAAGGGCGAATACATGTCCACAGTCTCTTGGAAGCATTGACGACGAGGAATTTGATATCCCTCCCCTGTTCGACGACACATTATATGAGAGCGCTGATATCCCTAACCTGGACATCGACGAAATGGGCGGTGATGTTGCAGTTGGGAAAGTTTACTCGAGCAAGAAAGATTGCCAAGTTGCTCTAGCCATCCACGCGATAAAGAACATGTTTAACTTCCGGCAAACCACAACCAAGAGTAACTACTTTGTCGTTAGTTGTACCGACGAACGTTGCGATTGGAGAGTTCTAGCTGTTCAGGTTAAGTATTGTGGCTATTACGAGATTAAGAAGGCGAACTTAGAGCATACGTGTTGCATAGAAACTAGAAGCACGTTTAAGAAGAGAGCCTCATCTCGTGTTATAGCGCAAAATATGGGGATCCTATCAAAGGTCCGCGTGCAGCCGATTTGCAGCAACTAGTACTTGAGGGGCTGCCTCATATATGAAGTGTTACAGGGCACGTGAGAAGGCAATAACCTACGTTAGGGGGACTGATGATGATTCATACATAGGACTGCCAGAGTACCTATATATGCTAAAGCTAGCTAACCCCGGGACGGTTGCCGATTTGGAGACGGAGAAAGACGAAGAAGGCGTTGATCGTTTCCTGTATTTGTTTTTGTCGTTCGGCGCATCGATCAAGGGTTTTAGGCGTCTAAGACACGTCATTGTCCTCGACGGAAATCACCTCAACAGTAAATTTATGGGAACCCTACTCACTGCTAGCGGCCAGGACGCTAACTTCCAGGTAAGCGACAGTCATGCATGTATCCATATGGACAACTCTCTATGGTCAGTTAGTTATAAGAATACCAACTCATTCTCGCAGGTATTCTCGCTTGCCTTTGCTGTGGTGGACAGCGAGAACAACGAATCGTGGACATGGTTCCTACAGAAATTGGACAGAATATTGGCCGATAGCACCTCTTTGACCATCATATCTGACAGGCACCCGGCCATATAAAGTCGCCATCACGAGGGTCTATCCTAAGGCCAATCATGCTGCGTGTATAGTGCACCTTGCCAGAAACGTAACAAACCGGTACAAGAGCAAGGGGTTGGCCAAGATGGTTGTGAGCGCGGCATTTGCATTCCGGGTTGGAGGATTCAGAAAATTTTATGCTGATATTACGACAGCTAGTCCGGAATGCGCTCGCTATTTGCATAAGATTGGTATTGCTCATTGGGCCCGAGCACACTTTCCCGAGGAGCGATATAATTTGATGACTAGTAACGCGGCAGAGCAGCTGAACAAGGCTCTCCGCGGTGGTCGGAAATCTCCAATTATGGAACTACTCAAATTCGTCCAGGACATGATGACCAGGTGGTTTAACGCTAGGAGGAACAAATCGCTAAGAAACAGGGGGTCATGTACGCCTGAAGTGGATAAGGTGTTAACAGCAAATTTGGCTGCTTGCAAGGGGAGTCGAATCAATTCGATATCCAGCTGGAGCGCTCAGATAGTTGGTCCGTTTGGTGAAAAACATCAAGTCATGTTAAAAGAGAAGAGATGCTCCTGTCGTGTTTTTGACAAGCTGAAGATTCCATGTGGACACGCAATGATGGCCGCAGATAGACTTGGTATTTCATACTCGTCCTTGCTAGTGAACACCCTAAAACCGTCAATCTGGGTGGACACATACGAGGAGCTTATAACCCCGCCGGAAGATGCAGTAGATTACGACATGCCCCCAACCGTTGGTGAAAAAAATGTAATGCCGCCTAACACAAAGAGGCCGCCGGGAAGGCCTAAAGAAATTAGAATCCCATCCACAGGTGAAGTTCCAGTACGAAACACACCTAACCCATTTTGAACTAGATGCTTTGCTCTTATATGTAACATGCCTAACAGTATCATCGTTTAATATCTGCGTAGGTTGCAAGGGCCAAAAAGGAAGTGCCGAACAAGTGCTCACGATGCTTGGGTGCCGGACACAACAGGACCAGCTGCAAAAACCCGATTAAACATTAGGCTGGCTCGAAGTACCCCGCAGTCGTCTCTTTTTCTGTTTGAAGAAACACCTTTTGGTTTTGTATTACTATAATTCCCTAAAGAGATGTTTTTGTCTACAATCCCATATTGTTTTTGGTACTATGCATGGGAATTGAGGAATTGAGGAATTGAGGAACTTTACTTGCTGCTTGTTCTATTTGTAGACTTTTATTATGACTGGGAATTGAGGAACTTTACGTTTTGCATGTTAGATATCTTAATTCATCACGACGATAGTGTTTGGATGGACCGCAACGGAGGTACACACTTCAATAAATCGTGTTACCGTCCACTCCAGCACCAATGCATCGAATGTTCCGATATCGGTGGACATGGTACTTTGTTCGAAACACACGACGCCGCATGTCGGCACTTCTAAAACTATTGATAAACGAGTTGCACGGAACTGCCATGGATTAATGTCAAACCACGACAAGGTAAATAGCTTGGTCGGGACTTAATGGACCTTGTATGGGCCCTGCATTAATGTCAAACCACGACAATGAAAAACAGTTTTGTCAATAGTCTATCTAGATTAATTCGTAACCACGGAAGCCAGAGATAGCTAGTGATGGACAGACCTGTTTGGACAGTTTATTCGTCGCAGGTCGTAACAGTTTACCTGGATTTATTCATGACCACGGAAGACAGACATAGTTGGACAAACGTTAATGGACATAATATATAGCGTGTCATATACGATCAAAACTAGGGAGGTACACACATCCATGGACAGGCTATGCGTCGAAGGTTGAACGCGAAATGGATCAAAATTACCGAATATACGCAAGACGCTGTGGACAGATTACAATACGCATCATCATTTGTAGATTACAATACGCATCATCATTTGTAGACTCATACTACGCATCATCATTTGTAGACTCATACTACGCATCATATGTGTCATTGTACGCAAGCGCCATGGATGAATGTCAAACCACGACAAGATAAATGGAATAGACGGGAGTGAATGGACAGTATATCAGCCCTGCATTAATGTCAAACACACCAGGGTAATAAAAAACGGTTTTGCGTAACAGTATAACTGCATCGTACATGAAGCCATACATAGGTGGACAAACGTTAATGGACATAATACATTGGTTGTCATATTACGGTCAAGACTAGGGATCAAAACTAGGGATGTACAGACGTGCATGGACAGGAGTTTAACACGAAATTGATCAAACTTACCGAATAACGATTTTTACGCAAGACGCTCTGGCTGTGGAACAATTTTAAACCGTATGGACGCGCGCTTTTGGACAGATTACATTACCCATCATCACTTGTAGACTTATATTACGCATCATATGCGTACACATCCTATGTTACGCGACATATACAATCAAAACTAGCTATGTCCATACCTGCATGGACAGCTAATGGGTCGTAGCATATACGCAAAGACCATCCAAATTAGTACGCGGGAACCATTATGTACGAACGTCCATGGACAAATGACGGTTGGTATCATGTACGATCAAAACTATCTAAACGTACACAGATAAGTAAACAACCCACAGAGACGATATAATAAAGATTCAAATTGTCTTGATGACGAGGGGCAGGAAATGTTTTGAAAACATACACGAACTAAACAAACTAAACATTGTAAAAAACGAGTTTACCGAATATCAATTGCCCGGAGAAGGGATTAACGAAACAAGTCTTTCGGTTACCACGCATACGACAACCCTTGCATAACGAACGCCATTTCCATCTTACCTTAGAAGGGCAATAATCGTAGCCAACACAAGAACCACTACACCGCATGCCACACTAATCCTGACCACCCTCGTCGCCTCGATATCGCGTTTACTTCCTGATTCCTTAAGCCCTTCCATCTCACCAACCAGCTTCTTGAAACGATCACAGTCCATCGCCATGCAAGTGACGTGGTTGTTGATGTCGTCCAGTGATGTACTCATATTTTACATCATTTAGACATATAATTTCATACATATTTGCATGTTCTTGACATTCATTTCACTCATTTTAGGTCAATTACCTTCCATTGTATACATTCATACCATTTAGAGCATACATTGCATACATTCTGCATTTGGAGTTGCATTTAGGTGCTTTTGAGGAGTTTGGAGCTAGTATGGGAGGTTGGAGATTAAAAGAATACTCAGGAGTTCGCAACCAGGATGTCAAACAGGTTCAGAAACCTGTTTCTCGCCTTTCAGCTGAGTGTTGACCAAGAGGACGAGTTGACCCGCGTTGACTGAGCTTTGACCACTATCCAGCTGTACCAAATGAAGACCAAAACGCAAAGTTTGGAGCCAAGACCATTTGGGGAAGGAAGAAGTCAAGCTAAATGAGTTGACCAAGGGTTTTGGAGTCTCCAAGTATAAATACTTTAAAGTCTTATTATTTTAGGCACTTTGTAATTTCCCCTTTCAAGAACACCAAAAACAGCCTCTTTAGGGTTCTAAACAATTTGTTAGATCCCAACTTCTATTTTAATCAAATCAAGTTCTTTCCTTCTACAATCTTCTTATCTTATCTCTCTAATCATGATTAGGACCCTTTCCCCATGGGATTTGGTGTTCTAAGCATGATTAGTGAGTAAACCCCTTTGGTCTTAGAGGATGGGATAGATTAGGGATTTTAGAGTTTGATTTTGATGTTTAGAGGTTAAATTTCGTTTTACAATCCTTCCTTGTTGGGTTTTCTTAATGCTAGGTCTCTAATGATAATTTAGATCTAGGTTTTAAACATTTTCCACATCAAAAGTGTTTGGAGAAATGTTGGACCAACCAACAAGGAGATTTGCTTCTCTAGCTCATGATAGTGACTGTTTAGAGAGCTTATTGGTTTAGGAGAATTGTTGCTTATTGCTGGCTTGAATCCTTTCCACTAATGAAAGTTAGCTCTTGGATTGGGTTCTTGCTTTGTGATTTTCACCATGAAAATGGGTTAATCTTGCTTCTAAACATCATTATCAACCTCTAAGATTCTCTAATCAATTACCCCATCCTAAGACCTCTTTCTTCCTTTGAATTCATCTACTTGCTTGATTCAATTTGGTTTCTAGCTTAGTTCTTGATTTCAAATTGCTTCAAACTCTGTTTATTGCCTTTATTTCTCATTTTTACTGTTCATTTCGGATTTCACAAAACCAAATCTTTTTGCTCTTGACTTGAGAAAGTTTCTTGCTTTCTTTCTTGTCCCAATCACTCTTCAAAGTGGATTGATAACCTTAAACTATGCTGCAATGATATGAGCAGGGATTAAGGGTTTGAAACACCTAAAAATCTTGTTTTCAAACTGGCGCCGTTGCCATTTGGAGAGATTTGATTGGACATTTTCGATTTAGAAATTTTTCAAGATCAAGTTTTTATTTCATATTTCGCTTGCTGCTCATCCGTTCTTGAAGTTTCTTTGTGGTTTTGCAGGTTTATGAACACAAGATCACGTGGTCAAGACATTCTGTTCTGGACAAGTGATTTTCAAAGAGCTGAACAAGAGAAACAGTCAAAGCAAGGCAGAGATAGAGCTGAGAAGCAACTGAGAGCTGAACAGCAGCTAGAGAACAACGTACCATAGCTTGTGAGCATGGCAGACCCACCAGGGGTCCCAGAGTTTCCATTGGGAGCTGACCAGCAGCATGGAGGATATCCAGTTCATCCTCCACACCCTCCACGACAAATCGGAGCTGCTGACACTCCGACTTCTCATGTCAACCGCCACGGAATCACCCCACCACCAGTCCCCTTTAACTTTGAAATCAAGACCAGCTTGATCTCATTGGTGGAGAGTTCAGTGTTTCATGGCATGAAGGATGAGGATCCATTGAAGCATCTTGACAAGTTTGACAGAATTTGTTCTTTGCAGCAACTCAATGGAGTTTCTGAAGATGGTTTCAAGTTAAGGCTTTTCCCTTTCTCTCTAGAGGATAAAGCTCTCACTTGGGAAGCATCTCTGCCTGCTGGATCAGTCACCACTTGGGCACAGTGCAAGCAATCTTTCTTGGCTAAGTTCTTTCCAACCTCAAGAACAGCACAACTGCGCAATGATATCTCCGGTTTCATGCAAATGCATGGAGAAACTTTCTGTGAGGCATATGAGCGCTTCAAGGGCTACCAGATGCAGTGTCCTCACCATGGTTTCTCTAAAGAGAATCTACTGAGTACCTTGTACAGAGGAACATTACCCAAATACAGAATGCATCTTGATTCAGCAAGCAATGGTTACTTCATGGGTAAAGATGTTGATGCTGGATTGATTTTAGTTGAGAACGTTGCCACTAGTGATGGAAGCTATGGTGAAGATTGTGACAGAGCTGAGAGAGGCAGTCTTGCTCAAGAAGAGAATCACAAGAAGGAACTCAAGACTCTCAATGATAAGCTTGACAAGCTACTGTCAGGTCAGAAAAAGCAAGTGCACTTCATTAATGGTGAGGAGATTCAAGAGAAAAAGCTCAACTATGTGGACAGCCAAGATGGAAACCAATGGGTCTATTACAAGCACGGTTTTTCTCCACAAGATCTTGGGTCTACTCAAGCTCAAGGAAGCCACAATTCTGGTCAAGAGGCAGAGATGAAGACCATATTGCAACAGATAATCCAAGGACAAGCTAATAGTGCCTTAGAGTTGAACAAGAGGATGGTTGAGATTCACAATAAGGTTGATTGCTCATACAATGATCTAAACAACAAGTTTGAGTCTCTAACTACCAAAGTGCTTACCTTGGAAGCTAAAGTTGGTGGTTCTTCATCATCAAGTACAAAGGAGTATTGTCATGCAGTTTTCTCTACTAAAGATGGTGTGGCTGAGACTGAAGAGAATGAGAGAGCTATAGAAGAACTTTACAGGCTCCTTCATGGTACAAGTGTTGAGATTTCAGTGAATGAGAGACTTCTCAAGCTGAAAAACGAAATGCCAAGGAGGAAGCCTCAAAGATTGTTGCAAGAGAAGAAACCATCAAGGTTGAGCCTCCTCTTTACAAACCAGAGCTTCCATTTCCTGAGAGAGTTCTCACTAAAGCTCAAAAGAAGGTAGTCTCCACATTCAGGAATGATATGAGCAATATTGGTGTTCATCTACCCAACATAGGCAATATGCAAGAAGCTCACCTCCAAATAGAGCTGATTAAGATGTTCTTGTGAACAAAGAGAGAGTGGCAGCGCTTCTTGAGCTCTCTACACCCCCAGATCCTGCCCATATCACGCCAACCTCCATTCCCAAGCTTGAGAAACAAGGGAAGTTCACATTGCCTTGCACCCTTGGAGATTTGAAGCTTGATGATGCTCTTGTGGATTCTGGAGCAAGTGTGAATCTGATATCACTTGCCATGGTTAAGCAGCTGGGTATAAAGAGCATGACGCCTCCTACATCTTCTATCATGTTTGGAGATGCCTCTTCTAAGTCTCCACTTGGTCTAATCAAGGATTACCCTTTAAAGATAGGAGACTGCAAGGTTCCAACTGATCTGACTGTTTTGGGTATGTATGGAGATAAGGAAGGTACCATTGATCCTTGGAACACCATTCCTTACAACTGTTGGAGCCTCAATTGACTTTCACAAGAAGCTGGTCACTCTCCACAATATCAACAGCAAGGTTGCATACCCAATGAAGGTTTCTTCAACAAGTTATTGTGGAACCATAACCATTGCCAATTCCAGCTTCAAGAAGGACAAGGTTGAGTGTGACAAAGTTGTGCATGTGCTTGATGAGTGTGGAGAAGATATTATGGATGGAGAGTGTCTCATTGATATGTTTAGTGAGCACATGGGACGTGCTCAGAAGGAGGAGGTGTGTAGAGGCAGAGAGGCCACTCTTAAGAGAAAGAAAAAGATGGAGAAACCACATCCTCACTCTCTTGATCCATCCCCAGGTGATCCAGTCAAACCCCACGGTTCTCTTGCTCATGCCATGGATACCACTGTCAAAGGCGTGCAGCCCTTCACCATTCACTAGCAAGAGTTAAAGAAGGTCAAGCTTGGGACCTAAAACAAGCTCACTTGGGAGGAAGTCCCATGCTTATCCTTTTGTATATACTTAAGCTTTTCAATTTTTTTTTTTTTGTGTTTGCCTTTGGTGCTTTTGTGTTGTAGGTTTGGTGCAGCTTGTTTGGATGAGGAATTGGGATGTTCTTGAGAGACCTGAGTTGATTGTCTAAAAATCAGATTGCAAAAACTTGACAGAATGGTCGCAATCAGATTTCAAACAGGTTTGCTCCTCAGAACAACCCGATTCCCGTCTGAGCCATGTTAAATCTTTGAGGTCACCAGCTCTGGAGTACAGCAACGCATCTTACAGCCTTGAAAATCAATCATCCTCCTCCTCCATGAGTACCTGAGAGGTACAACTCCAACACATTGTAAATACTATGCATTTTTAGTCTTCTCTGTTTTTGCATTTTGTTTGATGGGTCTCTTCTTCAAGCTTTTATTTGCACAAGGGACTGTGCAGTTTAAGTTTGGGGGAGAGGTCCATAGCATTTGACCTTGTGTTCTGTTTTCTTATTTTCGATTTTCATCCTTGAGTCTCATGCATCATGTGCATTGCATCTATGTCATAGAGAAAACCAAAAAAATGAAAATTTTCAAAACATTGCATAACACAAAAAGAAAAGCATCATTTGCATTTGCACATTAGGATTGAGTCTAGATGCATCTCATGTAGTTACTTGCACTTGCATAAGAAAAAAAATATTGATCATTTCCATTAAAAGGTGTGATTTTTCGAAAAGTTTTCAATGGCCTAGTTGTTAATTATTTGGTGCATATTGAGTGAGTTTGAAGTTAAGATAGAACCACATTTGGAATGCACATTTTGACATCATGACTTGGTTGAATCATTGCTTTGAATTGAACTCTCACCTTATCTATTGGAACCTAATTTGATCACTTAAATATCATTCTCATGCATTAAAAGTTTCTGCTCATGGATTTTGTTTCCCTTGGACACTCTTTATC